GTGGGTAGCAGGGACCCAACTGGCCATCACGTTGCATCCCAGGGACTGCATTAGCAGGAGGTTGGAGTTAGGAGCCAGAGCTTGATCTTCTTTTTTTTTAAGATTTATTTATTTTTATTACAAAGTCAGATAATACAGAGAGGAGGAGAGACAGAGAGGAAGATCTTCCGTCAGATGATTCACTCTCCAAGTGGCCGCAACGGCCGGTGCTGTGCTGATCCGAAGCCAGGAACCAGGAACCTCTTTCGGGTGTCCCATGTGGGTGCAGGGTCCCAAAGCCTTGGGCCATCCTCAACTGCTTTCCCATACCACAAGCAGGGAGCTGGATGGGAAGTGGGGCTGCTGGGATTAGAACCGGCGCCCATATGGGATCCTGGTGTGTTCAAGGCGAGGACTTTAGCAGCTAAACCACACCGCTGGGCCCCAGAGCTAGATCTTAAAACCCTGACTCTCAGATGTGGGACACAGAGAATCTCATCTGTGTCTTCAGACCTAGGCCAAATGTCTGCGCCTACGTGGTAATTTTGATGGGTCCCCAAATTGCACCAAGATCATATGCTGGTAACCAGTGCAATATATTTCAGATCATGTCATTGTGAAGTCAACAGCATCAAAGAACCCGAAGGGTGACTCACAACATAAAGTTGTGACAGCTATTTCCTGGTTCTGGAAAGTGCTCATTTCGTTAATTGAGCTTGTCAGGAAAACATGGCTCAGTAGGGGCAGAGACCTAGACTAGTCCGTTCTACAACTACCCAGGTTCCCTAGAGCACCAAATGGTGCTGGAGTCTAGCCCAGCTAGGTGTGCCTAGCCCCAGTTCACACATGTGCCAAGGGATACTGCAGCCTTATTCAGAGCAGAACGCAGCCCCCACTCGGGCCCCTGCACTCACCAGTGGGAACCACAACCCAGCGAGGGTGTACTGTCTCAGCTCCCCAACTGAGCCTGTTCCCAGCCTTTGATTATGCGCATGCCAGTGGTTGCTCTGACCCAGCTGGCTTAGCCTCTCACCTGTCTCAGCCTTTGCCTTCGATGCTGTGGCCTAGTATTCCTGACTCATGCAGACCAGTAGGTGTAAAAGTCTAGTTCAGCATGACCTGTGCTCCAGCCTGATTTTTGTTCTTCCTTGTGAGTTAAGGTTTGCTCGGCCCTGCCTGGCCCTCCTCCTTCCAGGTGCAGGTCGGCTCACCCCACATCCTGTTTTAGGGTGCACATTCAGGTGCTGCTGCCTTGACCTGCCCACACTGTTGTCAGTTCCTTTACCCATGGTTTTACCTAGCTCAGCCCATCACCACTCCAGCTTGTGAACTAACCAGAGGGACTTGTATTTCTATAGGGTTTGGTGCACACATCCCCCACAGAATCTGCCTTTGGACCTGGTTCTCTCATGTGCTGGTTAGTGTCTTGAGCCTGCCAAGTGTGACCCATCCCCTGTTCCACCAGTCAGTCAGGTACTGGTACCTAGCCCTGCCAGACAGGCCCCCAGCCATAGTTTTTGTGTGGACTGATGTGTGGCAGTCAGTGATGCTCTACACTAACAGCCCATCTCAGGACTCCCATTTGGGCTGGTGAATCAGTCTCGGCCAAATAGATCTTATGGACTCTCTTCTCCAAGTCACCAGGTCTCAGTCCCCACACTTGCCAGCAAGTTCCATGACCCTGCCGCTGGAAGTCACGCAGGATTCATCCCTAACCTAATCTCACATTGGCCTTATATATGGATGTCCCTGGGCAGCAATTACATATCCTAAAAACCCTAGAGCTCACCACTGGGCAGCCAGCAGGCAGAGCCCAAGCCTAGGACTCTCACCATGTGGCGACGGTGCCCATGGGCCAAGTTCTGGGCATTGGGTCTGATCTGGCTCGGGTACTCTCTGAAAGCAGTTTGCCACTGCCACGGAGGGCTGCTGTCACCTGAGCCGCCAAGGTCAAACTCCAGGATACTCACTCTCAACAGATTGGGCTGTTTGTGTGTGTGGCCCAAGCACAAATGCTGCCTGGTTAATTGCTTAGAAAAGCAGCTTGATGACCAAAGGCAAGGGGACTCCTCCCTCTGCACATCCATACAGTGACAGCTAACTTCAGCCCCAGACGTATATTATTCCTCCTTTAGGTCATTCCACCCTTGGCAGAATGGTGGCTAGGGATTTTATCTGGATAGTTACTTTCCTAATGGGCTGGGGGTCTGGAAGGGATTGGTCCTCCACCTGTTGCTTCTGTTTAAAAGGGTGGACGGTGCTCTCACATCCCTGCTAATGCAGACAAGGACTCCTGTTCCCTCATTTTGCTCTCAGGTTTTGTCATCGATGAGAATTCACAACCTTCTGGCTTTAGCATTTTTCTGAATATCTCCCATTTCTTTTTAAAGTAATGAACCTCTTTCTTCCAATAATATCTTTTCTATTAGACCACAACCCAGGAATCCTGTAACAACTCAGGATTTTATTAGCACATGTTTATACTACAACTTCTCATTGATGATATAATTTGCAGACCACCAGGAAATTACACCAAGGCTATTTTCAGGAACACAAAAACACATGAATTTCAGGTGTAGTGGATTCCAATTCTACCACTGTGGTCAAACAACGGCAAGCAATATACTTTTGAAAAATAAATGAATGCTAATGGTACCATTTAAAAATGCTTTTAACAATCTCAAGATATTCTTAAGTTCAACGATCCACAATTAGAGCAAGTTATTGTTATATTACAATAAGAATTGGAATGGTTTCTAATGTAGTGGTATTACAGCCTGAGGATGACTTATTTGTCATGTCACAAGCGTTAGAGCAGCAGAGAGACAGAACACACTGAGCAGAGAGCATCATGGAAATCCCAAGAGCTTCAGAGTGTTAAGCGTTTATCTACAATAAAGACATCGCAGGAAATGTTGAAAAGGTCATGATGTCATGGGCTCCTAATCACAACCCGCTCTCACCGTCCCATTTTTCATCTGTCCAAGAAAATAAGCAATGTGTGAACACGATGCACACATACCCATCAGGCTACCCACCACTAGATCGGCACTCTGCCTAGCATGCAGACAGTGCTCACTTAGGCTGCTCCGCACAGCTGACAATATACGGCATGAAGAACAGCTGTAGTGAAATCCACGAACAGCAACAAGATAGGTATCTATCTTTGGCTGCTCTTAAAGGTAGCTTTGTGGGCCCGGTGTGGTGGCTAGTGGCTAAAGTACCCGCCATGAATGAGCTGGGATCCCATACGGGCACCAGTTCTAATCCCAGCAGCTCCACTTCCCATCCAGCTCCCTGCTTGTGGCCTGGGAAAGCAGTTGAGGACAGCCCAAGGCTTTGGGACCCTGCACCTGTGTGGGAGATCCGGAAGAGGTTCCTGGTTCCTGGCTTCGGATCAGTGCAGCACTGGCTGTTGTGGCCACCTGGGGAGTGAATCATCGGCTGGAAGATCTTCCTCTTTGTCTCTCCTCTTCTCTGTATATCTGACTTTCCAAGAAATAAATAAATCTTAAAAAAAAAAAAAAAGAAAAGTCCACTAGCATTTGGCCTAGTGATTGTTACTGCCTGCAACACCAGCATGCCACGACAGAGGGCCTGGTTTGAGTCCTGGCTCCTTCCTCTGTTCCTAATATGATTTCCTGAGAATGGGAACCTGGAAGGTAGCAAGTGATGTGCCAGTGCTTGGGTCCCTGCTGCTTACTTGGGAGACCTGCATGGAGTTCCTGGCTCCTGGCTTTGGCTTGGCCCAGCCCTGGCTTTTATGAGGATATGGGTCAATGAACAGTGGAATCTCTGTCTTTGTCTCCTAGTCTTTCCAAAACAAATGGGAAAAAAAAAGTTTTTGAAAACTTTTCTTTAAAAAGAACTTGGGCTCAATTCCTAGCCTCTAGTTTCCTGGCTTTGTTAACACAGACCTTGGGAGGCAGGAATGATGGTTCAAGGGACTGGTTCCCTGCCATCCATGTGACACACCAAGAGTAGGTTTCCAATCCCTGGCTGTGGGTTGGCCCAGTCCCAGCCACTGCAGATACTGGGGAGTGAACCAGCAAATGGGAGCTCTTACCTCTGTATCTCTCAAATACAATATAAGTTCATTCTGGTAATATTTTGAAATCCTTGCAAAGTTGTTTCCTAATGCACACACTCCATGAAGTTTTTGAGGACTCTGGATGTGGTCACTTAGCTCGCAGGCCACTTCCTCAATAAGCTGGAAAGTCCAAGGGCAGCTTCTGCTCTGTAGAGGTGAACTGTTCACTCGTGAGGCACTCGGGACCTCTGACCTGAGAGGTGAGGTCATCAACAGCTTGGGTTTCCAAACAATTCTGAAAGTTACTCTTTTTTCCCCCCTAACATAAATTCTTTCCTTAATGATATGGGTCAACTTTGGTCTATCCAGGGGGATTTTTAAAAATTTATTTTATTTTTATTGGAAAAGCAGATATACAGAGAGAAAGAGAGACAGAGAGGAAGCTCTTCCATCCGCTGATTCACTCCCCAAGTGGCTGCAACAGCTGGAGCTGAGCCAATCTGGAACCAGGAGCCAGGAGCTTCTTTCGGGTCTCCCATGTGGGTGCAGGGTCCCAAGGCTTTAGGCTGTAGACTGTTCTTGACTGTTCTCCCAGGCCACAGGCAGGAAGCTGGATGGAAAGTGTGGCTGCCGGAATTAGAACCGGTGCCCATATGGGATTCTGCAAATGCAAGGTAAGGACTTTGGCCAATAGGCTACTGTGCCAGGCCCTGTCTGGGATATTTAAAGGAAACTAGAAGTACTGGTGTTCCTCATTCCTTTAGGTTTACTATCTCACATTTGGAATATCATCTTTTTGTTTATAATTTGTCTCTTCAAGGTGTAAGGAATTCTCAGACACTTTTTTTTTCTTAGAAAGAAAATTCAATAACTATCTCAAAAGCCTGGATGTCAGTCCTGTACGTTAAGGAAAGAAATACCCCGACAGCTGCAGCCTCAAGTGCTCGTCCCTAGTCCCACGGGGCTCTGGGTCCTGTTCCCGGTTGTTTTTCTAAATTTCTTGTTTGTTTTCCCAGTGGCCGTAGCCACTCCCTCTGTCTTGTTCTTCGATAGTCTCCCTGGTAAAGGAGGCCTCTTCCTCCTCCTCCCGTATGATCTTTATCAGCTCCAGGAAGCTGGGCGGCGGGCCCTCTTCTTTTAGCTCCTGGAACCGACACCACAGTACCTGGCTAAGTCTGGCCCCGGCCATGACCTGCTGCAAGCGGCCCTGGTCTGCGATACCCCTGGGGATGGCATCCTTCTTCAGGGCCTCTGTAGTAGGGTCTCCAACCGTAACACATACGCCGAGACCTTCTCCTTCCTGCTGGTAGGTCTTCAGGTACCTGACCTGGGAGCTCCTGCGGCTCTCCAGGCTCCCAAACACTTGTTTCAAAGCCTCCAGACACTTCTGCACCCTGATGGTGGGGTTGTCAGCCTGCACTATGCTCATGAGTCCAGCGTGGGGCCGTGCAGACTCTCCATCAGCCACCTCTTCTTCTCCACCTCTGTATTGGCCACTCCTTGACGATCTCTGTGGCCTGTTCCAGCCAGATCTCAAAGGGCTCCTCCTCTGGGGCTGGCACAGTGTTCCGGTATCGCATGGGGAGCAGGGGCTGAGGGGCCTGGGCCATCGCCTGACCCAGCGCATGGGCCAATAACTCTGGGTACATGCAGGGCATGGTGGGCAGAGACATACCCTCCTGCCTCAGGGCCCAGAACTTCCCAGACATAGTCTGCCCCTCTTTTTCCAGAAAGAGGTTCAGTCTTTTGAGAAACCCGTCCTGATTAGGCGTCTTAAAGATCACTTTCCAAGCAATGCCCCTTCCCTGCACCTCACTGGGGATCACCAAGATGTTGGGGTTCCCTGTGAGCTCCAGGAGGACAGCACTGGCATTCTCTTGCTTGTGGAATATTTTGCCAAGCACGCAATAGTTGCCCAGAAACCCCAAGGTCTCCTGCAGGATCTCCTGGATCTCGGCCTCAGTGAAGACTGTTGGGATGCCCGTCACCAGCAGGGCTTTTTGCTCATCCACACTCATTATCCTGCACCAGTCCTCTCACATAGCTAGTGCCATGGCCCCAGAGTGTCCCTCACTGTCACCACCGATGAGTTAGCAACACGGATATGCACCACCTTTGGGTGGAAAGTGTCCCAGTTAAGCTGTTACAGGGGCGGGCAACCCACTCCTGCCAGTGTCCTGGGCTAGGGCACTTCACCAGCAGTCTCCCAGGCTTCTGGAAGAGCAGCCCTCACTTTCCCAGCACCTCCCTGGGAAGGTGAACGGTGTCTCAGGCACTACCTGCAGCTCTGCAGTCCAGCTTCTGCCGTTTCTCTCACGGGCACAGTTGTTCCTCTCGGTCTCTGGATGCGTCACCTCTCCCGAGTTGCTGGAGAAGCATCCTTCACACCTAGCCCTCTCTTGGAGACACGTCTCAGGTCAGACTCCTGGTAACACAAAGTTCGGTTTTACCACACGGCCCTCATCTTGCTAGGAAACACTGGCACTCCGGTTGGCGATGGAGTCAGGGAGTCTGATTCGTGACTCACAGTGCCCACCCACCTCTGGGACCCTTTCTTTGTTCTATTGCGACTTCTTTCTCCTGGAGATCCCACTACAACCTGACTTCCTTCCCCTGCCCCCCAACTCCCATACACTCATCAAAAATATCAATGAATGTCTGGATCCCAGTTGTGGGCACTGAGACCTTTTTTTACAGGAAAGAAAAAAATCAGACATGGCTAGATACCTGCTTAGGTGTTCCTGAGTGTTCTGTCACAGCCAAGCAGAGGAAGCTCCTAGCACAGGAAGATGTCACTCAGCACTTCACTGAAGGGTCTGATTCTAGCTTCAGTCAGGTCAATCTAACTTTTACACATAAATAATAACACGTTTTTATGCCTCACTGTTATCTAGTGCTGAAGACTCTACATGCATTAATCAAAAATGACAATCCTTTGCAATTAATCTACTCAATAACATCTAGTTGCTGCACTTATTTGAAAAAACCCAACTAAGAATCAGTCACACATTAAAAAATAATGTTGGTACAGTAGCTAGGAAAAAAAAAGACTAAGGGGGAATCAATTACATTTGGAATTCTCAATTTATTTTCACAGTATCTATGAGGCTTTGCAAAGTCGCAGCCAGGGGTTTCTTTCGCAATGTCCTTAACAACACTTGCTTCCTAGCATTTGAACCTGAATGGGTCATTTGAGAAAAATTAAAAAGGGAGGAAGAAGCATCTGCTGGGGAGCCTGGGGCAGGGCTGAGCAAACCTTAGCTCACCGGCAGGTGCAGAAACCAGGCTGGAGCGTAGGTCATGTTGGGCTAGGCTGTCATACTTACTGGTCTGCATGACCCAGGATTGGGAGCAGACTGAGCAGGGCCAGCTTCCAACACCTGCCAGAGGGAGTTGGGACTAGAGGCAGGCTAGGTCAGGCCAGGTCAGGCCAGGTCAGGCCAGGCTACAGCACCCAAGGCAAAGGCCAAGCTGGGTCAGAGCAACCACTGGTAGATGCAAGATCTGTGGCTGGGAACAAGCCTGATTGGGGAGCAAAGGGAACACCCTGTCTGGGTTATGGTTCTCACTGGTGAGTAGGAAGACCAGAGTTGGGGCTGCTGTCTAGTCTGGGCATGGCTGCAATGTCATTCAGCACAAATATGGACAGGATCTGGGGTGTGCCAGTTTGGGCTAGAATCCAGCATCCACTGGTGCTCTGGACAATGAGGGTAGGTGTAAGATGAGCTAGGCTAGATCTCTGCCCCTGCTGAGCCATGTATGAACCTTGTCTGGGTGTGGACCAGGCTTGCTGGACTGTAACATCCAGCATTAAAAACCAGAATGGGTGAAGGCTAGTCAGGCAAGGAGGTGGACTAAGTAGGGCTGGCCCATGAACCTACTAATGGGTGCAAGATCCGGTATTGGGAGAGGTTCTGATGGAGGAGCTTGGGCAACTCCTCTGTTGGACACAGTCCCTGTAGGTGAGTGCAAGAACCACAATAGGAAGCAGCCCAGACCAGGTCAGGTAATGGTAGCCACTAGCATACATTTGGCACAGGTTGGGGGCTAACCAGGCTGGACCAGTTCGTATCACCTGCTGGCAAATCTGAGCACCAGAATGGAGTGTGGGTCAGGCTGGGTTGGGCCACAACACAAGCCAGTTCAAATGAGGGCCGGACCTGGGGGCTGAATGGGCTGGGCTAGGTTGTAGCCCCAACAGCATGAGCTGGAATTGGGGCTGGGCCAAGTCTGGCAGGCTACATCATCCACTGACAAATGCCTAGGAGAGATGGGCCATGTCAGACTCAGCTGCAGCACCTAATTGGTACATATAATACCCAAGTGGGGAGGGGCAAACCTGGTAGGGGGGACTGCGTGGGGCTCCCCTGCTGGACCACCACTCCCACTGGTGAGTATGAGAGTTGAGATGGGGGCAAACACCTGTTGGTCTCATGTGAGCTGGATCAGGGAAAAGCCAAGCTAGGTTGACTGTTCCTACTGGTGCATGCATAAGCCAGAGTGGGTGTGGGTCCATTGGACTTTGCCACAGCATCAGCTGGCACATGCCGGCACGGGAGTAAATTACGTCAAATTAAACTGCAGAACCAGCTGGAGAGTGCAAGATCCAGGAGTGGGATGGAGCCCAGTAGGGAAACATTGGGCATCTCCCTCCTGGGTTGCTACTCCAACTGGTGAGCATGAAAATCAGGACTGAGGCAGGCATCACTAGACAGAGAGTGGCACTCACTGGCACCTCTGTGGGCTGGAGAGTGGGGCTGGTTGGGTTGAACTAGGCTACAATGCCCATTGACAGGTGTGAGAGCTGAATGGGATGTGGGACAGACTGGCCAGTCTGCTGTACATACTGGCAAGCACAGGAACCAAGGCAGGGGGTGGGCCTGGTAGGGGTTACTGCAGGTCGCTCCTACTGGGCTGTGCCTCTCATTGCTTTGTATGAGGGCCGAGTGTGTGGTAGGCAGGATTGAGTTGGGCTCCAACACCCATTGGCTTGTGTAGAAGACACGGCTGGAGACAGAACTGACCCAGCAATTGCAACCATCAGCATGTGCATAAGCTGATTGGGGTGACAAACTGTGCCGGACCCTGTATTGTCAAGCACACACAAGAATTAGGTCTGGGATCACCTCAGATGAAGTTTCTTTGGGATCCCCCCAACTGAACTGCTGGACTCAGATTCCCAACCATGGAGAGAATTGCATGTTCCATGGTCTGACTGTGGAATGCATGTATCAGAGCTGGGTCTCCTTAGTGGCTTAGATGGAGCAGTGGAGAGCATATCCAGGTGCACATGGAGGATATGGCAGTATACTGGAACCTGCAGAGCACACCTGGTACAACAACAGAGGACGGGAGACAAATCTATCAACTACCCCAGCCAAGTGTTGGCACTGAATACCTGGGCAAACGGAGACTCTAAGTTGGACTAAGGTAGTCAGCCAGCGGGTTCTGGAGAGATTTCATCATGCTTTGAGTGGTGAGATCGTCAATAATTCAGAACTGTTGAACTTATCAAAACCTCATAAGCAGGACCCTCAGAGCATGCCTCACATCGGGGACCCTGGGTTGGTGTCAGTGGCTGTCCTCCATCCCAGGGTGCAGAAGCATTTGGGAGGCTATGTGTGGCTTTTCTCCTTGTCTCAGCTCTTCTCCCAGATACAGGAAGGATAAAAAGAGAATGTGGAAATGGTGATCTCATCCACCTTCCTGTAGCCTTTGACCATAATCACCCTGATTAACTATGTAAAGTCATTAAAAATAAAAACAAATTTTTAAAATAAGGAAATGTTCCTAACACAGTCAGGCAGGTGTGGCTTTGTGCTGAAGGTATGCATAGAAACACACACTGCCAGGTGACTAGACCTTGTGGAGCCAATATGCTCACAATGGTGCTCTGTGATACAGTGCAGGGTGCTACCATTGTTCCTTGGTGCATGGCCGTCACCCCCAGCAGGGACTGAGAAAGCTGTGTCAGGGAGCTCCAGAAATTCCCTCCCTGGCTTGGAGATCTTTGGGATGGATGGTGTCCATACATTACAGACGTTCATGTGCAGTGATGCTTATGGTGAACACATCTCCTGTGGCCTTCCGGGAGGTGCCATGGCACCAGGAAGAGGCACCACATATAGGCGGCTTCACCTCTGTGCTCAGCAGTTCCAGGCAGCTGAGACACCTGACCTCTGCAGGACACCCTTTTCCCTTCTAAAATATGGGGCTGAGTTGTCTGCAAGGGAATATTTTGAGGAAACAAGGGAAGTGAAAAAGCATTGATTGCTCAGAAAGCAACATCTCCAAGGTCCACACAGTGCCCATCAGCCTGAGGTGGCGGTAGGAGGGCTACCTTGGGACCACTCTCTCAAATGCAGTCAGTACCTGCCCTTCAAATAAAAACAGCAGGTGAAGAACAGTCCACCTAGAGCAGAGCCCAGGATGGAATTACCTGGACACGGAAAAAAGTTGCCTTTTCTCAAATAAGCAGGAACCAGCATCCAGACTTGGAGGAGGAAAGCCATCCCCACTGGAACCTGCTGGCTCATTTAACTCCATTTGGGCAGCATGCCTTCAGTCTCTAATTTCCTAACAAGGAAAGAAGTTGTGATAAAAAGCAAACAATAAAAGCAGCCAGCAGGTAGGAAATGATGTCATTCATGTGGACCCACTTTATTCAAATGCAAAGCACATGTGGTGTGGAGCCCAAGAGGTCTCTCCCACGCTCTTACAGGTATATTCTCTGGCGGGGAGAGGCCTTCCCATGTGCCATCTTCAGGCTGTGCCCCAGTCTCCTCCAAATTTAACACCATTCATTAAACTGTCCCCTCACCAAAGAGTGGGGAGAGGCGGTACATTCTGCCCTTGGTCAAAAACCTCCATCCCACATGGCTAGTTGCTGGGCACCACTTTTGCAGGATTCTGTCACTGGGCAAAGAGGGCGGGGCTGCACTCTACCAGGCCCAGGGGCTGCAAAGGCAACGGGAGATGGGCGTGGCAAGAAGGGTTCTGCGGGGACAGTGTCACCCACATAAATTAAATTGCACCCCGGATAACTGCCAGTGCCTAGCCAGCGATTGGCACACCCGCCACGTCCACGCCTTTTCTTTGCTGGGTCCTGCACAATTCCAGGCAGATTTCCTACCAGCCAGCAGCACCTCCTACGCACTGGCGCAGTGCGCAACGGGGGCGAGGGGAGGGGGCATAAGACGGAGTGCCCTGGATGCGGGAAAAGGCTGGCGATGAGGGAGTGGTCTTGAATGTGCTTCTTCCCCACCTTTTTTGGGGGAGAGGAGAGGGAGGTGTCAAGAAGATCAAAAATCTCTCGGCGTAGTAGCGTGGATATGATATGGTGCCCCCGGCACTACGGGGACTGTTAAACCTGTCTGTCAATTATGGAACTTACAAGTTGCAGCCCTGATACACTCACACAAACCTCTACATCTAGTCTCCCACACCCTTCTCCACTTTGCTACGTCCCTCTGCGTTACTCCTGGCCATGCCGTGCCTCCCACCCCTCACCGGGGTTTGCAATCTCTGCTCCCTGCAAGCCACCACGGCGCCGGGACACCGAGCACTAGTGCCTGCCAGGCTGTGTCCAGGTTCGGTCTGCGCTGCCTGAACCACATCGTGCCCAGCCCCACTGCCACTCTCTGCCTTCCCCGTGAGCACCCCGGAGCTTGGCGCCCCTTCCCCATCCACCACCTACCATCCGGAGAAGGGCGCGGGGTCCCTCCCCAAGCTGCAGCCTCGTCCCCCGACCCACTCCGCAATGCGGCCGGGGAGCTGCGCCCGCGGGTCTTTCCCGCGCCTGCCTGGCCTGCTACTTACGGTGGCGCCGAGAGCGGCGAGCGGACCCTCCGCTCGGCATCCATTAGCCGGGGGTCTGGCCGCTTCACTTCCGGAGCGCAGGGCTCCGAGAGGCGCCGCCCTCCCCTCGCCCCTCGCGCGCCCCGCCCCGCGCAGCCGGGAACTGGCTGCCGCAGGGGCCGCCCTCTCAGACTCAACTTTGCCGCGCTCCTGCTCGGGGGGCGTGGGCAGGGAGGGGGGAGCGCGGGGTCAGGGGGCGGGGCCCGGAGGGTGGGCGCTCGCCGGCCCGCCTTCCTTTCTGTGCACCTTGCGGTGGGCAGAGAGTGGCAGCGCGGCGGCAGCGAGGGCCGTGCACGCGGAGAAGGGAGCCCGAGGGACTAGCGGACGGACGGACGGACAGGACCCTCCCCAGCCCCGCGCCATGGCCGAGAGGAAGCAGTCCGGGAAGGCGGCAGAGGACGAAGAGGTCCCTGCCTTTTTTAAAAATCTGGGCTCTGGTAGCCCCAAGCCGCGGCAGAAATTCTGTGGTATGTTCTGCCCGGTGGAAGGGTCCTCCGAGAACAAGACCATCGATTTCGATTCACTGTCGGTGGGCCGGGGCTCGGGGCAGGTGGTGGCCCAGCAGCGGGACGTCGCCCACTTGGGCCCGGACCCGCAGACGCCGTACTCGCGGCAGGGCCGGCGGGCCGGCGGGGAGCCATCTGTTGAATCGGGCAGGAAGGTGGAGATCCGGCGGGCCTCGGGCAAGGAAGCCCTTCAGAACATCTACGACCAGGTGGGTGTGTGTCAGGGGAGGCTGGGTGCGGGAACACGGGCGTCAGCTCACCCCTCGCCCCTGCCATGTGGGCGACTGCCTCCGTGCCCTGCCACGACCGCGGTGCCCCCCACCCCCGCCTCTGCACGCGCACCCCACCCTGCGCGCAGGGCGCGGCTAGGCTCCGGCGCGGCGGTGGGCGGCTGTGCGCCCACAAAGGCTGCCCAAGCCTCCCTGAGCTCGGGCACTGGGGGTGGGGGGCGGTGGGCGTAAAGGGCTGGCCGGTCCGGGTCTGGGCGGAGAAGGGGGAGGGGGTCGCCTAGAGGAGGGAGTCTCCGGGGGGGAGGGAGGGGGTGGACCGCAGTTCCATTCTTCTTAAATCCTCCCGGGTGGCTTCGGGTTGCAGCTGTGGCTGGGAGCCCCACCCTTTTCTGATGCAGCTCGGAGCTTGCGGTGGAGGTTGGCGTGAAGGCCCACGGGCTCCCGGGGGTCGGGAGGGGCGGGGGCTCGGGCGGACGCTCGCCGCCCAACCTCCTCCGGAGCCCTCCCTCTCCGCGCGAGTCTGGAGCTTGGAGGTCAGGACCATGGCCAGCGCCTGCCCGGCCCGCCTAGCAGCATCACCATCCTCGATTGCTATTCGTCTGGAGAGAGAAGATTGAGGAGGCCGTGGAGTCACCCGAGGAAACCCAGGCACTGCTAAAACAGTTCATGTGGAGAACAAAGTTAGGCTAAGGGCTTCCCGGAGCGCTTCCCCAACCACGATTTGGAGGGGTGGTGCTTTGGGGATGGCCTGAAGTGGGTTGCATTAAAAAAAAAAAAAAAGAAAGAAAGAAAAAGAAAAAGGGGGAAAAAAACCCACCCCTCATATTTGAAAATCGGTTGTCAAAGAAGATTAGATCCTCCACTGTGTTCACTTATGAACAAAGAGGGCCAATTTAGTTGACCTTGATTTTAGAAACTGTTTATCGTCTGGTGGCAACTATGGATGGCGTGGCTTGAAAATCCAGTGGCTTTCTCACATGCTGCTATCTTTCAGGGTGACCTTTGTGATTGTGCCATTTTTCACAGCCTTCATTTCTCAACTGAAAATTTGCAGTGCAAAATGTCTTAACACGTGTTTGCTGTTTCCCTAACATACTCATTGGTGAAGATGAAAAAAAAATCAATGCATGGTTATTGATTGAAAAGCCATTGTGAATATCTATTGTGTGGGGAAAGGCTGGTTATGCAAAGTTCAAGAGGTTTCTTCTGAAGGGGCTTCCAGGGTTGTTGGGAGTGGTCTCCTCCTGGGGGAGCTGGTCAGCTCTCACTCAGCTTTCACTCAGCTTCCCGGTTGCACACTTACAGTGGAAGCATTGAAGAACAGTTAAGAGTTGTTGATCATGGCCACATCATGTGCTGCCTTTTCCTGATATGGGATACAGCTTTGCAGCTCTTGTTGTTCATAATTCTAGGAAACATAGATGATTGCTGTCATTTTCAAAAGGTAAGGCAACAAACCACTTCATTTAACTCACCACCCTGGCCTTGTAGTAGGGAGTGTATGTCTCTGTGAGTCAACCAAAAAAATCCTGAATTAAAGAGGAAACCCTGCTTGGTTGCAAGTGATGAGACAATTGAAAGCAAAGTTTCTAATAATGTGGTTTATACAGAGAGCAGAGGGAGTATGGAAGATTTTCCTAAGTGACTCTCGGGTGAGGGCCAAGATGGTAGAGCATCATGGTGGTGTGAATTGCCTCATGGATGGCGAGCAGTGTGGACAATGCTGCTGCCTAGAGGAAGCAGAAAAGAACCCCAAGAATCAAGATGAGACCATGCAGAAGGGGGCCTGAGGGCGGAGAGGAGCCACCACCCTAAGGACAGCAGTGAGATGAAGCTTAAGGCACAGTGTTACAGGGTTGGATGCCTTGTCTGGTCTCCTTGCCCTTTTGAAGCTTAGATGTTTGATCGTTAAAGCTATTCCTTCAAACATATCCCGGATTCTGTAGACAATTACAAAGGCAGAGCAAGCACATGGTGGGGAGGAGGGAGAGATTTGAAGAGAAGAGCACCCCATCTCCAACCAGATTGTTTCAGCTTTTGCAAAAGCTCTTTTGCCTCCGTTGCCTGGTGCCCAGCAAAAAGAGGACACTTCTGGCCTGGTCTTTATGCATCTCTCCCTGGGTGTTCATGTCCAACCTTGTCTCATCACACAAAGGCTCTTCCTGTGGAATTTTGTCATGCATGACTAAGCAATTTGTCATAATGCTTACAGTGTTTGAATATTTTATGTCTATCTTAGAGGGAAAAGGCATGTGTGTATATGTGTATAACAATAGTAATTTTTAAAAGGCTTATTTAGTTGAAAGGCAGAGTTACACTGTGCGGGAGGAACAGAAAGATTTTCCATCTGCTGGTTCTCTCCAGATGGCTGCAACAGCCAGGACTGGGCCAGGCTGAAGCCAAAAGCTTCATTTGGGTCTCCCAAGTGGGTGGCAGGGGCCCAAACACTTTGGCCATTTTTTTGCTTTCTGAGGCACATTAGCAGGGAGCTAGATTGGGAGTGGGACAACTGTGACTCAAACTGGTGCCCATAAGGGATGCTGGTGTTGCAAGCTGGCATCTTAACCCTCTGTGCTGCAACACTGGCCCCAACCATGATAATTTTCCAGAGCATACCTGGACCCTCCATTTTGGCCGAATTGCATAGTCATGACTTAGTTTTCAGCTAAACTAAAACTAAAGCACGACAACAGCATCTATACTCAGTCCTATTGGAAACCCTTGCACAGAGGTGAGGGGAAGTAGGGCAAGTGGATCCCAGGACGCTGACTCGTGCCCTTTCTGCTCCCCACATCTGGGCTGATAAGTGTTGTTGTCACAGGATCTGCCAGGACTTTGCTCACTCAATGAGCTGGGAGCTCTATGATGTTCCTCTCACAAGGCCTGGCCCAAATGCCATGTGGCTTATGGGAGATGTGGAAGGCTTGAGTTGTGCTGCAGAGTGTGAGCCAGCCAGCACCAGAGAGCAGTGGTGTGGCCTGACCTGGACTGACAGATGTTGGTGAAGGCTGAGTCAGTCTAGTGGATGTAGATGAAGAAAGCTTGTATCCTGTGGCACCCTTTTCCCTGTCAGTCTACTTGGGGTTGATTGAGGTTGCAGTGGTTACTACTGCCTGTGAGGGACTCTGAGTCTATTAGGACAGAGAGCTGGAGGCCAGATCTGTTGACCTGCTCGTCTCATCAGTGCCCATGTTGCTTCAGCCTCCTCCCTTCCTTCCACACCATATGTGATTCCATCCCTGGCTCCATAATGAGCTGCTCAGCCAGGGGTACTGGATGATGGACATGCCTTCCAAAGGGGTCTCGAGGCCCTCTTCCTGGCAGCAAGCAGCCCACACAGGCTGAAACCATGGGGCAGTGATTCTCCTTTTGTCCAGGTCAGGTGCCTCCAGTGCACTATGGCATGGGATAGTCCCTTCCATTCTGGGTCCTCATCCCCTCTCCCCAAGCCCAGGGAGCCTGGATCCCTGCTGCCTCTCACTGTTGAGCCCTTGCTACCCATTCTCAAGGGGACACACCTCTGTTACTTCTCTCTTAAGTCCCTGTCCTTCCCTTTGCTCTCCTTCTCCCATTTGGAATTCCTTCCTGTGTTACTCTTGGCTGCTACAGAGAAACCCCCATGCTTGGCATCATGGGGACTCTGAGTGAAGGGCTGATACTCTTATTGCCCCCAGAGATGCTTGTTGGGAGTGGACAAGTCTGTGAAACAAATGGATGTCTAATTAGTGGGCTGTGTGGTAAAAATTTGTTTCATGGTCTAAAAATTATTTAATGCTGTGGAGGCCACACTGGTATAGGATAGGAGCTATAAATATGAACATCTATCTGTTCAGCACACCAGCACACCTGAGAGCCACTTAAACCCAACAGGAGGAAATTGGGGTTGGGGGAGACTTGGAGAGGGAGGGAAAAGATGAGAATCCATGAGTGTTTTTGATTTTTTTGATTATTGAACTAATCATGTGATTTAGTTACATTTGACAAAAATGTGGGACTGATGCCATGGTGCAGTGCGTTAAGCTGCTTTTGCAATACTGACATTCCATGTTGGAACATTGGTCTACTCTGCTTCTGATCTCTGGCTCCCTGCTGGTGCACGTGGGAAAGCAGTCGATGATGGGCCCAGTGTTTGGGCCCTGACACCCACAAGGAGAACCTGATGAAGTCCTGGGCCCTTGGCTTCAACCTGGCCCAGTCCCAGCCGTTAGGGCCATTTGGGGAGTGAACCAGTGGGTAGAAGATCTTTTTTTCTCTGCCTCTCACCTTTCACTTTGCCTTTCAAATAAATGAATCTTTAAAAAATTTAAATTGTTGTATAATACATATGGTGTAAAATAACATCTTAACCATTTTAATTGCTTAATTAAGTAATGTTGAGTACATTCACATTTTTGTGCAACCTTCACCACCATGCATCTCCATAACTTTTGCATAATTTTTAAGATTTATTTTTATTAGAAAGTCAGATATACAGAGAGGAGGAGAGAGAGGAAGATCTTCCATCTGCTGATTCACGCCCCAAGCAACTGCAATGGCAGGAGCTGTGCCAATCCGAAGCCAGGAGCCAGGAGCCTCCTCCAGGTCTCTCATGTGGGTACAGGGTCCCAAGGCTTTGGGCCATCCTCGACTGCTTTCTCAGGCCACAAGCAGGAAGCTGGATAGGAAGCTGGGCTGCCAGGATTAGAACCGGTGTCCATATGGGATCCTGGCATGTTCAATGCAAGGACTTTAGCAGCTAGGTTACTGCACCAGGCTCCTTTAGCATAATTTTTTTAAAAAGTTTATTTATTTGAAAGTGTGTGTAAGAGAGATCTTCCATTTGCTGATTCACCCCTCAGTGGCCGCAATGATCAGGGTCGACCCAGAGTAAAGCCAGGAGCCAGGAACTTCATCTGATTTTTCCATGTGGGTGGCAGGGGCCCAGGCATTTGGGTCACTCTCCTCTGCTTTCCCAGCCCATTATCAGAGAGCTGGATTGG